TACCTCAATGTAGATGGCAATCCCTTGGTTGAAGTTTCTGATGCAAAGCTCCAATTATCCAACCGGTTGTTGCCTCTCTTTTGATGTTTGAAGTTGTGTGTGAGTGTGTTGTGTGAAGTGAGCAAAGAAAAAGCCGAGAGGGAGCTGGGAGGAGGAGGATTGCCTTTCTTCCTTTTTTTTCGGTTGAGAGCCAAGAGAGGGAGCCGAGAGCCTCCTTTTTTTTTTTGTGTGTCTCGCCGAGAGAATCTATATTGGGAGAGAAAAAGAGGAGCTTGTGTGTGTGTTTGGTCAAAATGATTATTTTTACCAGATGACAAGAAAGTTGAGTGTAGGAATGGGTTAATAGTTGTTTTGGTAGGGAAAATAATTAGGAGAAAAATTTTTTTTAAATTTTTTTTGATTTTCTTTTATTTTTTTTTTGTTTTTGTTTTTGTTTTTGTGTTTTTTTTTCCTAAAACAAACCTGCAAAAATGAGACAAATGCACATTAAAATGTAAGAAAATAAATAACTCATTAAATATTAAATCAAATTCAGGAAAACATTAAAAATTGACAAAAATTTGGTGTGTACAAATATCATTAACAAGATATAGCAAGTTCATCTATACTCTAGGCATAAACTTTAGCAGAATATGAAAACAAACACCAAACTTATATTATAGTTAAATATGAAATCAAATACAAAAGAGAAAGTGATAGGAGAGAAGTCACCCTTGTTACATGAGCTTCAAACTCTCTATTTTTGTTGCTCAATCTTCATCCAAATCTAACTACAAATACAAGATGGATAAACTACGCTACCTGTACTATACTACTTTAACTAATGAACTAAGAAAAACTAGTGAAAACTACATTTTTTGTGAGTTTCTCTAGCCTTCCAAAGTTGTCAAAATGTCCTCCAAAGGCTACTATTTATAGAGAGATTCAAGCTCAAGGTGAGTTGCTTTTTGGTTGGCAAAGTTGGCTTTTAACTCATCAAGAGTTGTTCTTCAAGTTTTCAACACTCTTCTTGGTCAGATATAGCCGAAATTCTGAATTGTAGATGAGCTGGAAAGGTTGTTTGAACAAAGAACAAGTTGCAAAGCAAGTTGTAGCAGAAAATGAAGAATTCACGACTTGAAAATGCGACCTTAGGTCACTTATTGCCTACCCACGTGTTGCTTGTGCAAGTTTGTACTTTCCAGGTAGAATTCATCCTTGCTCCATTTTTTGTCCAATTTCAACTAATATTTTCTCAATGATGAAGGCTGAACTAGCTCTTGTGTAAAACATGAAATTTGTAGCTCTTTAAGTCAGCTTTCCAATGCATCAAGAATCATCCAATTTGGAGCTCTGTGTACTAACAAATGACCAAAATACCTTCAACTGGTCAGAACCTTGTTTCAGCTTCGACCATAGAAATGCACTTCTATATTTCGATTTTATGACAAGGAAAATGACTGAACTGGATTTCGATGTCTTAATACCAAATGTATATCTATCTCTTACTTCAAAATGATTCAAGAATCACCTCAATTCAATACTTGTAACTCAAGACATAGCCGAAATACCACAAGGTATCAAAGCTTGAAAACTTGCATTTCATCCTTTGAATGTTTTGGACTTCATGTTTTCTTTTTATCACTTCAAATCATCATCAATCATCCAATTATCTTCTCAAATCACTCCATTTGATGATTGAATCCTTAAATCTATAAAAACATGAAAGTTTTTACCATAAAAATCCACAGCAATGCAATTTTTATACTTTGAACCACAAAATGCATATTTTCACTAAAATTATAGTTAATTAGTTATAAAAGTAAATAAAATGCACCAAAACTAACTAATAAAACACATTAAAAATACGTAAAATATACACTTATCATCCGCCACCCCGTTTTTCAATCGAAACTTGAGGTCAGTATTCTCAAAAGAAGCCCTTTCAAACTCCTTAGATGAAGTTTTGCACCTCTGTGTGAACTCCTTCAATGAATTTTGATGGAAATTGCAGTCTTTTTTCCTTTTTCAAAAGTAAATCCTTTTTTTCCATTGTTTTAACATTATGGTTATTTTACTTAGTTAAAAATTAATTAATTTAGAAAATAGAGTGAGTTAAAAGTTTAGTAGTTGAAAGTAATTCTCGTGGAATCGATCCTTACTCCCTAATATTATGATCCACAACCTGTATACTTGCAACGAATGAAAAAATTAGGTTAAAATTTAAAGTGTTGGTTAGAACCCGTCACTCGACTTGACATGATGAGTGTGACTGAAAGCATCAAGTGACCAATATCTATATGCCGACACAACAATTCTAGTGAAACAATAATTCGTCCTAATTTTCTTGCACTACCAAATGGCAAATGTCCACCGAACAGGTTCACGTGGTTGATTTTTTTTTGGGCAAATTCCACTTTACCCTCCTGTGGTTTAGTATTTTTTCACATAACCCCTCTATGGTTTCAAAAGCTATACATAACCCCTTATGGTTTGGATTAAAGTGTTAAAGTAACGAAAATAGTCACTCGTAACGGCGTCATCTAAAATGTCAAAAATACCCTTATGTAAGGCTGAAATTTATGTATTAACCAAGGGGGTTATGTGTATATTTTGAAAATCATAAGGGGTTATATGGTAAAATATAAAAATTATAGGGGGTTAATGTGTATATGTATTTATAAGGGTAATTTCGACATTTTTAGAATTTCCGTTACGAGGGACTATTTCCGTTACTTTGACACTTTAATCCAAACCATGAGGGGTTATGTATAGCTTTTGAAACCATAGGGGGTTATGTAAAAAAAAGGTAAACCACAGGGGGGTAAAATATAATTACCCTTTTTTTTTTAGCTGGTGTCACTTTTCTATAGAATTCAGATTAATTAGTGCGAGGCTGCTTTCACTGATCAAAAGATGACAATGCCGCTCACAATTCCATTCACTTGAATGTGAATAAACTATTTCTGCACTTAAACAAAGCGACGAGAAAAATCATTAGTCTACTCTTGACTGCGAGCTATATATAAGGCTACAGGGAGTTGATCCATATTTGCAAATAAACTGTTAGAAACACAAGCACCAAGATGGAAATAACCTCAGGAACGTGGATAGCAGTGCTGGTCAGAATTGTACCAGTGGTGGGGTGGGCGATGTGGTGGTGGAGTTATCTCTGCTTCGTTCTACCGGTTAAATTCCGGTGTTCCGGTTGGGACACAAAGCTTCCTGCTGGCAACATGGGGTTTCCACTTGTCGGAGAAATGCTTCACTTTCTCTGGTATTTTAGGGTTGTTAAACGACCTGATGATTTCATTAACAATAAAAGAAACAAGTAAGTTTCGTTTTCCACGCTTGAGTGTTAAATAATTATTGTTCCATTTTATTTATTGATTTTGTTTAAAAAGCTAATAAACGTGCTACCAAATGCATAGGCCCAAATTTACACGTTTGCCTGTCATAGTTTTTTCAACTTGATATTTTAAATCCTTTTGCAACATTCTTTTAGGTCTGTTTTGATCGATGGGCTTGGGTGGATATGGATTTGATATGTTACATCGAAGAGATAGAGATTTGAAATTGACCAATTAAATCATTAAATGGAGGAACTTTCGGACTTAAAAATAATTAAATTGAAGTTCATTCAAATTTGGTGATATTTCAAATCCTTCCTAATCGGACATCAATGTATTTTCCAAACCATTCATATGGAGTGAAGAACGGTAGTAAATTGATTTTGCTGTTTTAAAAAAAGGGCAAATTTCACTTTACCCCCCTGTGGTTTAGCGTTTTTCACATAACCCCTCTATGGTTTCAAAAGCTATACATAACCCCCTTATGGTTTGGATTAAAGTGTCAAAGTAACGGAAATAGTCACTCGTAACGGCGTCACCTAAAATGTCAAAATACCCTTATGTAAGGTTGAAATTTATGTATTAACCAAGGGGGTTATGTGTATATTTTGAAAATCATAAGGGGGTTATATGGTAAAGTATTAAACCATAAGGGGGTTATATGGTAAAATATAAAAATCATAGGGGTTAATGTGTCATGTATTTATAAGGGTAATTTCGACATTTTTAGAAGTTCCGTTACGAGGGACTATTTCCGTTACTTTGACACTTTAATCCAAACCATGAGGGGGTTATGTATAGCTTTTGAAACCATAGGGGGTTATGTAAAAAAAGGTAAACCACAGGGGGGTAAAATATAATTTACCCTTAAAAAAATGACCCCCAAAAAAAATATCGGAGTTCAATTTGATTTTTCTCGTTTGCGGTTTGAGGGCCCAAAAAATATGGCATACTGAAAATTTTGTGCACGAGATTGAGAGCTCAAGCATGGCGGCTGCTGGAGATGATGTTGTCGGTGTTGCACCCCAGTTAGCAGAGAAGAAGAACAGAGGGATATCGTAGGATGACAATAGAAAAACTAAAAACAAATTTTTTTGACATTTAACCCCTAAACCTTTGACATTGTTTTTTTTTAACCCCAATTCCTTCTGTTGTTGTAAACTTTCTTGTTTTACGTAATCCTTAACCAATGAAGTAATTGAATTGATTAAGATTTCAAATGAATTGAAACAAATCCACTTTATATCTCTATATATTTGAACACAAGAAATGGATGTGTTGATAAATAGCAATCAAAGAGATGTCCATTTTATCGTGAATAATCAGTATTACCACAGATGGTGTGCAATAGGATGTCTTTTTTTTTTTTTCTTTTTTTTTCAAACATATGACATTATGGTTTCAAAGCCTATACTTTGTACTTTGTTGTAGTGTAGAAGTGCTAATTCTTACGCTAAAACTAACAGTCAATACCTAAAAAAGTTACAAGTCTGTTTTGATTGAAGATGATTTGAATTTCTTTTTTAATAATGTTGTAGCCTTTTTTTGTGTTGTATGTGAGATATAAAGTTGGTTAAAAAACAAATTTTAGTATAGAGAGATTTTCTGAAGAATGACCAATCGATAAACACATCCTTGAGTTTTTGGGCATTGACGGTGGGTTTTAACATTTTGTCAAATACTTTTTCACCTCAAGCTAGCTTGTATCTTCTTCTTCTATTTAGATAAATTGCCATTGTCATCACGTCATCATCTCTAATCTGCAAGTTCTCGTTAACTTGGGAATTGAATCGACATTTTTCTAATCCGCGGTCTGCAGATTAGTTGTTGGTTTAAAAAGTAAATCAGAAAGACTTCACAATCAAAACCAAAATCCATTCCATCAGCTTTTGAGTAGAGTTAATTTTAGTTAACTTGTTACTTTATAACCAATCATCTACTCAGATATGGTGATGGAGAAGGATTGTACAAAACCATCTCTTCGGTTCACCCTCTATAATTGCATGCTCTCCATCAGCTAACAAATCTATCCTTCAGTCGGATCAAGTCTTTGCAATGGGTTGGCCTGGCACTAAAATTACAGGCAACAAATTCCTCATCGCCCTTGAAGGATCATCACATGCAAGGATTAGAGGCTTGGTTGTAAAGGCCCTCAATCAACCTGATGCTCTCCGTAGGATAGCTATCATGGTCCAACCAGGCATAGTTGCAGCCCTGCAACAATGGTCAAAAGAAGGAAGAGTAGTCGTATTCAATAAAGCTAAGAAGGTAAACTAACTTATCCAGAAGAATCTTGATCTACTATTTTCTAATTTGGGTAAATTACATTTTACCCCCTGTGGTTTACCCTTTTTTTTTACATAACTCCCCTATGGTTTCAAAAGTTATACATAACCCCCTCATAGTTTGGATTAAAGTGTCAAAGTAACGGAAATAGTCACTCATAATGGAACTTCTAAAAATATCGAAATTACCCTTATAAATACATGACACATTAACCCCCTATGATTTTTATATTTTACCATATAACCCCCTTATGGTTTAATACTTTACCATATAACCCCTTATGATTTTCAAAATATACACATAACCCCTTTGGTTAATACATAAATTTTAACCTTACATAACGGTATTTTTGACATTTTAGGTGACGCCGTTACGAGTGACTATTCCGTTACTTTGACATTTAATCCAAACCATCAGGGGTTATGTATAGCTTTTGAAACCATAGAGGGGTTTTGTGAAAAAACGCTAATCTACAGGAGGGTAAAGTGGAATTTGCCCTTCTAATTTTCTTGATGCCTGTTTTCGTACAAGAAACCTCAGTAGGTCATTTCCAATATTTCACTTTACTTTTAAGGTTACTTTTGAGAACATTGGGAAGTACTTTTGCGGGTTGGAGCCAGGACCCCATCTTGATACACTTGATCACCTATTTGCGGGTATCACGAGTGCACAAATTAATATTCCAGGAACTGCTTATCATCATGCCCTCCAGGTCAGCATTCATGATGCATATATTGCTAGCAAGGACAGATTTAAATTGAATTTCTAAAAAACGACTCTAATATTTGAGGAAGAGGTATACCATATACTAACAAGACAACTTGTATTTTATACCATCGTATGTTGAGTGCATCAACTAACTTTCCATTCTTTAGCACTAGTTTGATTACAAATTTCTTTTTCATATTCTTTTTTTCATATGGACATGCACGCCACGACTTCCTTACTACTGGTTATGAATGCTTCTATACGCATCTCATTTTTCTTTTCGTTTACCATGGTTTTTATTTTATTACGTATTTAAGTTTGGGCAAATTTCACTTTACCCACCTGTGGTTTAGCGTTTTTTCACATAACCCCCTATGGTTTCAAAAGCTATACATAACCCCTTATGGTTTGGATTAAAGTGTCAAAGTAACGGAAATAGTCACTCGTAACGGCGTCACCTAAAATGTCAAAAATACCCTTATGTAAGGTTGAAATTTATGTATTAACCAAGGGGGGTTATGTGTATATTTTGAAAATCATAAGGGGGTTATATGGTAAAGTTTTAAACCATAAGGGGGTTATATGGTAAAATATAAAAATCATAGGGGGTTAATGTGTCATGTATTTATAAGGGTAATTTTGACATTTTTAGAAGTTCCGTTACGAGTGACTATTTCCGTTACTTTGACACTTTAATCCAAACCATGAGGGGGTTATGTATAGCTTTTGAAACCATAGGGGGGTTATGTAAAAAAAGGGTAAACCACAGGGGGGTAAAATGTAATTTACCCTTTAAGTTTTTATTGTAGTTTAAAGATTGATTCATCATTATGTATTTGAATCATTTAATGGGAATAAATCCACACCTTGTACTATATTCATTGGACAAATATAGCCTTACCTTTTAAGTTTTAAATTTATTTGATGCTTTTTATAATTTTGAGAAACATATATTTATATAGCAAAAGAAAAACAAATGTTTGCATTATCTTCGAATATTTTACAAATGCATAATATTAATTTAATTTAGCAATCAAAAGATTTTTAGTTACTAAAAATGATGTAAATAGGAATATCAACATATTTCAATTTCATAAAATCAAAGTCTAAGCATTTTTCAAGGCGGAATTTATATTCATATTGACTTCATATTAATATTCACCTTTTGGTTATGTGTAAGTGTTAAAAGGGCTCTTAACAAAATAAACAAGAAATGGGAATCTGTATATAAAACTCATATAAAGATTGGGGGAGAATTTTTTTTCTTTAGAAAAGATATTACTATAAAAAGTTTTGATTAATGCTTAAAGTCAAAGGTATCAAATGTCTAACAAATATAGAGGATGTGGATTTATTATGTTTGGGTGTGAATTTAGTCCTTCCCTAATTTAATCACGTGACTATGTGTACTTCAAATTCAAAGTTGTATATATTTTCAAACCCAGAGAAAGAAACCAAAAGAGATTGAACGAACACAAAACTCAGAGAAAAATTAATTTATTGTCTTTTTGAGTGTTTGAAGACGAATCATAGTGAGTGAAATCTGAATACAAAATTACCGGTATTAATTATTCCATAGTAACACAATTGTTAATTATAGTTTGCAACTTTGACAGATTAAGCAATTAGAGAATCATATGATGAAGCAATTACTAAAAATGAAAAATAGCAAACCACCTCTAATATAAGCAAAAATAAAAATAAAAGAATGAGTGAGTGATTTGAAAAAGAATAAATTATTTTTAGTAGGCAAAAGAAAACTGAAAGCGGTAATATAAAAAAATTGAAAATAAAAATACACAAGAAGACTGTAGATTAGTCCCTCCACTGAATTCTATACCATATTCTCAAATGGAAATTTTAACTACTGGTAGTTGACCGTTACCCCTAACTTGAAGGGAGTTTTTTGCAATTAACCCTTAGCGCTCGAGTAATTTCACTCTTGGGAAGTCCATAGCTTTTCATATTTCCTTGTGTGAGCTAGACTTAGACACCCAATTCTACATAAACAAGGCCGTTGATCGATGGATCCCCTCATTAATTCAACAGTGTCGGAAGAAAGCCAACACATTTTTTGCAGATGTAATAAACAAGAGAAAGTATGAAGGGGATGCTGCAAGAGCTGAGTATGATTTGTTGGATCAACTCTTGCATCTAAAAGATGACGATGGTAAGCAACTGCAAGATACAGAGGTGCTTGACAACATCGTAGGCCTCATAATTGCTGGCTATGAATCTACTTCCCTTTCAATTATGTGGGCTGTGTATTATCTCGCAAAGTACCCAAATGTACTTAAAAAACTACAGGTATGGTTTCCCAACACAAGTTAATTTATGACATTGAAAATCAGATTTCTTCAGTTATTCTTGATTAAGTTTGTCATCTTCACGATTGTCAAACAAATTAACTGTAGGAGGAGCACAAGAATCTTGGTAGGAATGGTGATTTCATCACACGCGATGACATTGTAAACTTGCAGTACACAAATAAGGTATATCAATTCAAAGATTATATGACTAAACTCGAAAAACCAATGCTATTAAACTATTAAATTACCTGTGTATCTTTTCGTGCAACTCATCATTTTTGTTCGATACATTGGTTGTGCTGAAGCATCTTGCCATATCGGAAAAATTTTAGTAAATCCAGTTCAACTATTTATCATATAGTTTAATCTTTCGTATCATGATAGTGTATATCATTAGCTCTAAATACATGATACATATATAAAATTTGAATTTCAATAAACAATTTTGCACATATGCATGCATCTTTTTTTTTTTTTTTTTTTTGTATATGACCACGTGTGGCATCCTGAATCACCAGACTAATCCACACGCGTCCACACCAACCTGCCCAAGTCGTGTGGGTTGTGGCGATTCGATTTTTAGCAATAGTACTCACCTAACTAGGCTACTACCACCAGACCAAAGTCCTGAGGGCCCACATATACATGCATCTTCACTTGCTAGTATATATAATGACAATGTAGAAAAAGTTTATCCTTATTTGACCACATAGTGGATGATGTGATTGTACATTGAGGACATAATTCGCAGCTAGTTACTATTGCCTTGATCGTCTTAATTTACTCATATTTCGGGGAGTGACTTGCAAGCAGGTTGTGGAAGAAACAATAAGACTAGCCCATATTTCACCATTTCTTTTCCGAACAGCTAAAAAGGATTTTGAGTACAAAGGTAAAAGTAAATTTCTTTGTTTTTTTTTTTAAATTCAGTTAGTTTAGCAAATAAAAGGAATAAGTGATTCTACAAATTTCTTTCAGAAGCGTAAGCTTTGCATGCTTTGGAGCATACAGCTTATCTCCTTCTGCTAATTTAAAACCGATGATACTCTTACAGGTTACAAAATACCTAAAGGATGGAAAGTGATCTGCTGGCTACGATACGTTCATGCCGATCCAAAAAATTTTGAAGATCCGTTAAGTTTCAATCCAGATAGGTGGAATGTAAGCAGAAATATCATTTGCATCTTCCTGGAAAACATGAATTTTAATTTACATATATAATTATTTAACTTAGATATATACTTCTTTCAGGGAAAACCAAAGCCTTGGACAAACTTGATCTTTGGAGGGGGACCAAGGATATGTCCAGGAAATATGCTTGGTCGAATGCAAATTGCCATTTTCATCCACCATTTGGTCGTAGGGTACAGGTATGTGATACACGACACTAAATTTTATCCACCAACTGTTGGTTTATTTTCCAATTTACAAAGAAAAAGGCTAAATTCAAAATTGACAAGTTCTTGTTTATTCAGCAATCAAAGTTATCACACAATGCAACTCTAATACTGATGAAAAAAAATGAGACATGTATATTTTGAAACTTTTCAGGTGGGAACTGGTCAATGCTGATGCAGGAATGAGTTATTTGCCGCTCCCACGACCAATTGATGGGGTTGAGATCAACATAACCACAATCTAATCAAGAATGAAGACCCTTTCAAAGATTTCAGGCCTGAAAATACTATTTATTCGTTGAGCATGTGGCTAGAAGGCTCTATGACATACATTATGCTGTAACAAACTTCCATCTTGGCCTCTACTTCTATTAGGAGGATGCGGTTTATCACTTGGTCACATAAAGTCTATGGCGGGCTATTTCCAAAACTTATACACGTCTCTATGACAGATTTGTCTTATTGCACCACTTCAATGTATTTGTTGGAGTCAGTAACATCGGAAGAAAAAGGAGCAAGACAGATACAAAGAATATCTACTTGCTGCAGATTATGGGATAATTTCAGAAACCTCCCTTGAGGTTTTTGACAATTTCATTCGGCTCCGCTGAGGTTTCAATAATTACATAGACTCTCCTTGGACCAATCAAATGACTAAAATGTCATCCACTTAATAATTAATTCATAAAGGGACGTTTAAAGCCGAAACTACTTCTTATTATTCTACTTGTCATTTACTAATCTCAAAAAATAATTTACATCAATTTTCTAATTTTCATCTCTTCCTCCCTAGTCCCTCCCTCCCTTCCTCCCTCCTTCTTTCATATTTTTCTCTCTTTTTCTCCTACAACCGCTTCTCTCTTTCATCAAATATCGCGCTCCATTATTACCAATCACACCACTATCAACCTTTTCTATCACTAAAATTTCTCTATATTTTTTGTCTTTTTGTCTCTTTCATTCTAGAAAAATTTTAGACCCTTTTTTTTTCCAATGTTTTACTCTTTACAAATGTTAGCCAATTGAAGTTACCAAATTAACAAGGTGCAGGGAAGATGAAAAAGGTGGCAGTGAAGGAAAAAAATGAAATTGAGAGTTGGAACATAAAGAAGTGACTATTATGTTTGTTAAGCAAAAAATCTAACAATTACTCATTGGTTCTCTCTTTTATTTACCTATTGATTGTGGTTTTATTATAAAGGCGGACTTTTGTTTCTATTTCTAAGAGTGCTAGAGCAATGATAAATTATGTTCTTAGGGACATGGGGGCATTTCTTAATTTAATATTGGTAGTGGTGGTAGTGAGTTGCATTAGGCAAGAATTAGCAAGTAATGAATTTTGAGATGAGTTGGAGTCGCTGGACTTTGTTTGTTTTAGTGAGTATGACACGTACAAGAAATTAAAGATTAAAATCTTATATTGTTTTGTCTTGTTCTTTGAAGAAGGGTATTTAGGATATTTGTGAAAATTTATAGCTCATTGGGTCTATATTGTTACATAAACCTTAAAAATAAGGGTGGTAGGTGTAAGTTTTGAAATTTGAGGAGAGCTCTCTGCAATTGCTGGAAACCTCGAGGGAGGTTCTAAAATTATCCCGCAGATTGTTTAATGTTTTTGTTGTTTTTCCTTATGGATATGCATAATCTTCAACCCAGAGTTTGCACAAGTTTTAAAAGTTGGTAAAGTCATTTTACTTTTTCCCCATAACGTTGGCATCATTCATACATTAAGATGACATGAATAGCAATTCCAATTTTCTTAGTCTTGGTTGGGCCAATGACTTTTTGACTGATCGTAATGCTCAATGTTTCCCAGTCCTTATGGGACTAAATTGGACGGAATGCTCTTCTATTCGACAATTTATTTGACTTTGCTTCATGATTTGAATCTTATCGCCATCGAATAACATTAGATATCTTAGCAGATAATATGTGTTGCAGGTACTATTTTGGTTTTGACTTGCCAAGAAAAGTTAGTGTAAGTGAAAGAGAAATGGTAGGACACAGAGTAAGTCAAGAACACGTGCCTGGAATTAAGGTGTTTAGCCTCTAAAAACTGTTACTTGATTTGTTATTAAAATTTCTGTATTGTGTTCATGTTTGGATGGGGAATCTATCAGAGTTTGGACAGGTGCACTGAAGGTTTTGGTATGGCTATTGTATATTCAATATTTTTTTATGTAGAGTACGCTAAAATTCCTTTTTTGTACGCATGAATTTTGTTCATGAACATCGATTCAATATATAAGTATAATCATGTGTAAGTGCACATCAAATTTAAAAAAAAAAAAAAAAAAACTACATGTGTAAGTACACTTCAATTCCTAATTTTTCAATTAACCTAATTAGACCTCTCCTAAAATAGACTAGAGTAGGAGTAGAGTAAATGTTGTCAATTAAAAAAATATTAAAAAAGAATAAAGTTTTCTTTCTTGCAAGATGTACCTGGAGAATTTTCAATGGCGAGAAAGAGCTCATTTTCAGCTCTTATCTTTTTTTTTTTTTCCCTTCGTCTAGGAATTATGATTTATACTGCCTTGTTTACTGGTCTATGTTATGTGCTTATATACGTGAGAAAATGTGTGTACAAAAGATGGAGAGAGTTTGTTGTGAAAGAGAAAGAATGCATACGTGTAATGAAGTGCGTTTGTGTGTGTGTGCGTGAGAGAGAGAGAGAGAGTGTGTGCTCGTGTGTGACAAAAGGTCGAGGTACGTGCATGTGTACGTGAGAATGAAAATGTGTTCATATAAAGTGTGTGAAAGAAAAAGTCTATGAAAGGGGAAAGGAAAAATTTTCAAAACGTGGCTTACATTTTGTTAAATAAAATTTTCATCATTTACTTTTAAAATGGTAATTTTATATTGTTTACAAAATTAAATTAGTAATATTTGGTCTCAACCTATATTTTTTATTGTTTCTAACCTAAATTCGTTATGTGAACCATACATCATACATGGCCATTTTTTTAGATATAAAAAGGTTAAAACCCATTTATAGTTAAATAAGTGATTCGATTCATATTCATTTTGCCCTCTAAAAAAGTAAAATTTGATCCAAACTGTATTAATTTTTCTCCTAAAAATGGGATTTGATTCAATTAGGATAGTCAATGGGACTGGACAAGCTTGAACTCAACTCATTAGGTTTGAGGAAAAGTTCGATGAGTCTAACCTTTCATTGAGTTATGCTGAATTTGGATCTAAATATTAAGTTCGAATTAAATGTGAGCCAAACTTGGATCTTATTACGCTCAAACTCGATATAGACTCGACCCTTTAATCTATATCTATATATATAATATATTCATAGTTTCATATATATAATTATATATCTAAATATATAATACTAATACTTTATACTTATGAGTTATGTGTCAAAATATATTAATGTATATAAGAAATATTAAATATACAAAATTATGTCAAACGATTCAAAAAGACAAATCCTAGTACGAGCAAATTAAGGATCTTTGAAAATATATTGATTGTTGACCATATTTTATTACTATTTTCCATGTTCTTTGAACTAATTGGATATATTATTATTGAAAATTTCTTGGTTTATATACTTTTTAATGGATTGTTATTGGTTTGTGTATAGTTTTAATGTTATGGTCATGTTGATGTTAAATTAACTTTAGAACTGAATAGTTATATTAATTATATTAAGGAAATTAAGAAGCAATGAGCGAGTTTGGACTCAACCAAAATTAGGCTCACAACCCCAATATTTTATGAGTCAAGTATGAATTTCACATTTATCAACTCAAAACTTATAATCCAAAACTAGAAAATGATACTAATTAGTTGAGTTGAGGTTGGGCTTGTTAAAATCTAGTTCAGATGGCCCAATTGATAGATAGGTCTAGGTTCAATCCATATTCATTTTTGCCATTAAAAATGTGGGATCTGACTTTTTTGTACCTAAAAAATGGTTGTATATAGGTTACATGGTGATTTCAAACTAAAAAATAATTGAAAACTTAGTTTGGAACCAAATTTTGTTAACCTAAATCTGTAAGAAACGTAAAGTTAATATTTTAAAAGTGAAAAATGAAATAATTAATTTGACGGAATGTGATTGATGCTTTGAATGATTTTCCTTAGAGATAATTTTTAAGAGGAGATGTTCAGGGGTAATAGAAAAAGAAGAATCTAAATAGACAACAATAAAACAAAATTACAAATTAAGTCTATGTGTGATCAATTTAGCAAATTCAGTAAACTTAAAAATTTAAATACAGTTTAATGAGTGCTTAATGTATTAAAAGGTAAAGCAATATAATTCAAAAAGTCCTTCGTGGAGTGATTTTCAATGTGAAGCAAAATTATCAAAGAGCCTTCACAGATAAAAGACACGGCATAGGCAACACAAGATTACTACTGTCAACACCCAAATCTTACCAAACCCATAAATACAGAAGGGGGGGGGGAAGCATAACAAAAAGAGATGACCGAAAGGAGCCTGAAGCCGCCGCCACCACTACTGAGCATCATCGAATTGTATTGTAAAACTTTCTTCCAAGACAAAATCTCACAACTAGATAAATACTGGGGATGAAAATCTCACAAGACAGACAAAATGAGAAGCTTTAGTTGTCTCAAGAAAAGTACATTGAGAAAGTAGTCAAACAAACAAGTTTAACATGAGTAAGGCTAAGGAAGTATCAACTCTACTTGCGGGTCACTTTAAATTGTGCATCAAGCAGTGTCCTACAAGTAAGAAATTAAAGATAAAAAAAAATATGAAAAAAGTTTCTTATGCTTCGGCTGTTAGTAGTTTGATGTATGTTATGGTTTGTACCAGGTCAGATATTGCTCATGCAGTTGGAGTAGTCAGTCAATATCTCTCTAATCCTGGTAAGGAGTATTAGAATGCTATTAAATGGATTCTTAGATATCTCAAGGGAACTCCCAAATTGTGTTTGTATTTCGGCAATGGTAAAACTATACTAGATGGGTACATCGATGCAGATGTGACATGTGCTCTTGACAATATCAAATCCACATCTAGGTATTTGACGAGTTTTGCAGGAGAAGCAATGTCATGACAAAGTAAGTTACAGAAGTATATCGCTCTCTCTAGTACAGAGGTAGAGTAGATCGCAACTATTGAAGCATGCAAAGAGACTCTTTAGTTGCAGAAATTCCTTTAGGAGTTGGGTATGAAGCAAGAGAAGTGCAACCTTTATTGTGACAGTTAAGCACTATTCATTTGTGTAAGAACTCTACATTTCACTCTCGATCCAAATACATTGATGTGAGATATTATTGGATTCAAATACTGGATTCCTAATTGTTAACACTTAAGAAGGTACATACAAGTGATAATGGTGCTGAGATGTTGACTAAAACATTGCCCAAGAAGAAACTCTTATTTTGCAGACAAGAAACAGGTTTGGCGGAACCCCCCAAATGAGTTGGAGGGGGAGATTGTAAGACTTGTGTGGGCCAACCCATTTGTGGCCCAACCTAAAACACAAGCTAACAAGACTTGAGGGTTTTCAAAGTGAAAAATAAG